TAGATCCTGCTCTCACAGGGACCGAGTGCTTATTGGATTAAGTGGCTGCGTGATTAAATGATTTGGGATTCACCAAGCACCATGGTCTGCTGATCTGCTTGACTGTCTGGCTAAGCCTCTGTCCCCTTCCTGAGGTGAGGTCTGTCATCACTGGGATACGGATCTTAAGGTAGAAAAGACTAAAGGTGTCACAGACCCTGGTATGAGGCAGATCCAGTGACAAATGTCATGTCTGACAGATGCATTTCCAGCTGCTCTTAGAACACGGATAGTGACTCTGCAACATCTGTCAGCAAAACCTCCCCCAGACCTTCGCACTCTTCACCATGACAATGTCAGCCTGGATCTTCCTTGGTGCTATTTAAACTATTATTTTCTTCATCATCTCAACAACCTTTCATGGATTTGGGGGTCTCCTCTCTGCCAACCTTTGCTGCTCTTCCTTAAAATCACAGTTCTTTCAATCTTTCCTTTCATGATTTGGGATGTGTTTTAGTTGGTACACTTCTCATGAAACATAGGTCCAAAAACTGGACCCAGTGCTCCAGCCTCAGCAGCAGTGAGAGGAGTCAGGGAGGATCTCGCCCAAGGCTTGGAGCTCGTGTTTATATCCTCAGCACAGTTTTGTGCCCTGCTTCCATTTCTCCAACCAGTGTGGACCCCAGGCAAAACTGTTGCCAAAGTTGTTCCCCATCCCTGGCAGCCCTTAGGTGTCATTGTGGATTTGAGCTCCTGGGGACAGCACCTCTTGGGATGTCTCCTCCAGGCAACAACTCATTTTCAACTCTTTGAAAGAGTCCTCAATTACTGCCAATAATTTGGGGTTAATTGAAGAAAAATCACCAAGTCCTTATTCCAAATCCTAATCCTGAGGGATCAGTTAAAGTCCTGCTAAATTCTCAGCTTTGATAATCTACTGTTCCAAAGACTACCACAATCTCATTACGGTGGATACAGCCAATTATTCCCTTCTGCTAGTCTCATTCATCAACATTTCTACAGTAAAATCCCCATAGCGGGGATTTTAGTGGGGTTTTTTGTTTGTTTGTTTGCTTGTTTTTAATGAAGTTGTTGTTCAGGAATTGGCAAGACCAGAGTTTTGGCTTGCCCAGAGTTTCAGATACCCTGAATGAACTTTTTTGACTGGAGATGCCATTAGATCAAACAGCTCCAGATCAAGTGACTTAGCTTGAAAACAAGGGGATCCAGGACAAAAATTTTATACATATATATATGTGTGTGTGTGTATATATGTATATACACATATGTGTGTATAAAATATATACACACACATATGTATGTATAGTCATTGAAGCAGCACATAGCAAAAAATGGAACTAACTCTCAGCATCATTCTTTCCTGAATAGCTCCTAAAATAGTCTCTCTCTCTGAAGATAGTCCTGATCAAGTCAAAATGCAAGCCAGACAAGGCACAAGATGGAAGAGAACACTACCACTGGATAGTGAAGGAAACAGATCTATGCTACAAAAACCAAAACACTGCTATTATCTCTGGCAATCCTTCAGCAAGCCCAGACTCTGCTCAAATCACTCTGACAGGCAAAAGATGGATAAGTGTGGAAAATCTATTCCTTCCTCAATGAATTGGGTCCGTAAGTTAATTCCGCAGGGGTTAAAACATGCGCTGTGCATCTTGCCTATGTTTGCCTGGCTTCCAGTTCCAGCTCTGGGGTCTTGGCAACGCGAATGCAGCTCAGAGGGTTGTCCAGGCCCCTCAGCACCCTCGAGGAGAGCTGGGCAAGGCTGCTGGGTCCCAATCCAGCATGGGTGGCTGCAGGGCAGCTGCCTAACGCGGAGCAGGGGAATTGCACAGCCAAGATGTGCTGCCATCTCAGCAAACACCGCTGGAGGTCACTGTGTGCTGCATCTGTCTGCACCACGGTCCCGGTTTCGGTCCCCTCCGTTCCTCCTGCACCGGTGTGGAAGCAGGAGCAAGCAGGTGGACCCTCTTTTTCCCCACAAGCACTAGCATGGGGCAGGTGCAAACACCTGCACGCAGACACAGACAGCCACAGACAATTTCCATGCATGGTTAGGGAGCTCACAAGGGGAGATGATGCTCCGGGCTTGGTACTGAGTAACGGGCAGGATCAGGCTCCAAACCTCCCACCGGCTGCATCGCTCTGCATCAGTGACTACAAGGTAGTTAGGGTCAGCATCCCTCCAGGAGCAACAGGGGCTGAAAAATCCACCACAGTCGTGCTACACTTCAGCAAGGGAGCTACAGAAAATGAGGAAGATTGTTAATAAAAAGGCGCAGCAAAGAGAATTAAATTCTTAAGAGGTGGCATGCAGACTGGAAGCTGGGGTGGTTGAACAGTGGACAAGACTGTTAGGAAGTATCTTTACATTAAGATACAATAACACAGAGTATTAAGAAAGCATCATTCAAAAAGCCAGAACTGTTTCCAAATGAAGAACGTGGAAAGGATCAACTCCAGCAGATTAAATGCACAGATTTAATACAGTAGACTAAAAAAATCAGGAGTCTGAGGATTAACTAGCTTTAGGCATCAAAATTAGCATTAGAAATTAGCATTATGTCTTCTTCTTCCCAGTGCATTAGGAGTAAGGAATGTGGCAGGCAGCCTGTGGGACACTGATACATGCATGCAGCATTCGAGGAGCACAAAGACTTTGCAGAGAGGCAAAAATGGATTATCTGGATCAAGGTTATTAGGGAAGGGGGTCCTCGCACCAAACCAGGGACAGCTCAGGAGACTGAGACCAATACTGAACACAAGTGCTAATACAGCCTGTGGTTGTTGAAGGAAGAGCTCAGCAGAATAGGGGTGCCCTCTTCTCTTGCCTCCAACCCCTGCAGGCTCTGTGTGAAGTGGAGAGAAGAGAGGCCCTGACCTGGTGCTGGGCTGGAGAGAGCAGGCACACAGGGATCTCTCGTGCAGATAGAGCATGCACACGAGCGTGCACAAGGACTGTCGTGCTGGGAAGAGTCACTTCCCTTTTCTTTTCTTGCAGACACTGCATGGGACTGGTGTACTGGTGTCCACCACTCCTGTAAGGAACTCTCACTGAGCAAGGAGCAACCAGGCCCAGCAGAGCTCACACTTGTGAAGAGCAGCACTAGGCTAGATGCCCTAGTAATGAGCCTGGCAAGCAATAAATAAGTGTATGATTCCCTCTTCTAGCTCAGTGCCTGCCTTTGCACAGGGGTTCGGCTCTTTCCAGCCCTCAGGACTCTTCTGCCTATGTAACACATGCCAGGTCTCCCACTCTCCTCTCCTTCCTCACTTCTGGATGCATCCTCTTCCCAGTTCACTCCGAAGCAACACCTCACCTCCCCGCCAGGCTCGCCATAAACCCTCTCCCTGGGGGAAGGAGCCACGAAGGAACTGGAAATGTGACCGGCTCCTCTCCGCAAAGGACTTACGGCTGGACGGCAGAGCAGGAGGCGGACGTCAGTGATGTGGGACGGCAGTGCCTGCAGCTTGGCACACACGTATATCACGTTGGAGAACACCTGGTGGAAGCGGAGCTCCACCCGTGCCCCACATGGGAACACCACTACTTCATTAAGCATCTCTGGAAGAGAAAATTGAGTGGGATGAGCAGCACTGAACTCCTCGAGGTCTCATCAGCCCCCCAGCTGCTCTCTGCAGGCCAATGTCACACAACCTCTTCCCAAACAGCTGCGAGATTCCGTCTTTGCCTGTTGGCTCTTGCCACTACTTGCAGGCCTACCGTGGCTGCGGCCCCAGCGCAGCGCGGCCGCTCCCGAGGGGCAGACGGGGTCTGTGAGGGCCCGGGCTTCCTTCAGCGTGTGCTTGATCTCCATCACCTGCTTCCCAGTGACCAAAGGGTCCCGGCCGATATCTGAGAGAGAAATGTAGAGGCACTAAGGGCACCACAGCATCCAGAGCACCCAGGTCCCTAATTTTCTTATCTTGAATTTCAAATCTTGCATGAACATCCTAGCCGGGTTGCTGCCAGGCTGCTAAAACCTCTCACGAGGAATGTCCTGCTGTGCCTCTCCTGCATTTCTGGCATGACATGGTTGTGCAGGATAAGCAAGACTCACCTGTGCCGCCTAGTGTTTAAGGAATTCAAGGAATGGAACCAGTGATTTAGATGAAGGCTTTGCTCTGCTTTAACAATCTTACTGCATCTGCTCTGTGACTCCTGATGTCTCTCTTTGACTGCCAGGCCTCCCTGCCTTCCAGATCACAAGCATACACAAGTGTATTTTCTATTTTTAGGGAGAAGGGAGCGTGGGTGCTGATCTTTCCTCTCACCCTTGCTGGGATGGCTGCAGAGATGTTAAGCTTGCTCACTTTCTGCTGAAACCTCCTTTTACCACTGCTACTGAAATAAGTGATCTCTAGCTTAAAAGCACTACCTTACCTTCTAACACATCCTCCAGCATGTGTGTAACTTTTTTCTCCTGCAGAATATGTTTCTTCAGATATTTCATGAAGATCCCAGAGCTGAATTCCCCATCCTGCAATTCATAGGCTTCTGCATCTTCACTTCTGAAAAAAGGAAATGACTTGTTCTTGACTTGTTCTCACCTTTCTGTGACTAGCAGGAAGCCCTGCGGTACTTAGGGCTTGCTGACATCCTGGCTATATTGGCTGAGTCTAGCTTTGGTTAACTGCTCATGCAACTGCACAAGTGAGGGTGGGAAAGGCTTGAGCAAGCAGAGGGAATAGATGGGAGAGGAGAGCACGGCCTCTTTTGCCAGTCTGGTGGGTAACAGCAGCTGAAAAGCTTGCAGGACTTGCACTCTTGTCCATCTTGGGAGGCTTCAGGTAGCCTCCTCGAGGCTCATGTGCCTTGGGAAGGAGGCTCAGGCACAGAAGGACAGAGGGCAGGAGCTAATGCCATCCTCACAGGGAACTGAGGATTGATGAGTTGTGTGAGTTCAGGAGAGGCATACACTGTGTTGTGGGGCAAGACTCCACTCACAAGGCCTTGGAAATGGGGTCAGACTGGATGGCTGCAGCCACTGGCAGTGCAGCGAAGGAAAGAAGCACCAGAAGAGCAAACGCTAGAGGGGCAGGGGGAGAGCCAGGAGGAATATAAGAAAGATCCTCTCAAGCCTCCAAAGCCACCAAGGGATGTTAGGAGACAGGGCTATGCCAGCTTTGGGCTGTGCTGGGGTCTCACATTATGGCATGGCCATGGCAAAGTTTACTTACGTGGCATAGCCATAAACAGTATTGCCCCAGGGCTCCAGTGGCTGTACGTGGGACAGGGCACACTCTGGGTTGTACCTGGAAGAGGAGACCAAGTGATGAGTTAGTGTCGAGGTCATCAGTCACTTTGCGCACATGTATGGGTTCACCTACTTCTAAGAACATTAAATCTGTCCGGGGTGACCAGTTTCCACCCCAAATGCTGCCGTGCCCACACTCGATGGCAAGCCTTGCTCAGGAGCTCATCTGGCTGGAGTCAAATTGGACGGCAAAGGGCTGGTTGCTTCCAGGGTTTGAGCCTTACCCCAGTGATTTGGAGATGTTCTCAATCACACAGGAACAAGAGCTGAGAACACAGGCAGCGTTACTCAGCCCCAGGGGAGTTTGCTGGGGCTGAAGCTGGCAAGCTGAGGAGAACAGAAGGGGCTATTCCATGACCAGTAGCCAGCAGGTTACCAATTGCTGGTGGCAAAGTCTGGAGAAGCTGCTGAATGGTGAATATTCATCTGGCTTATATTCTAAAGATGCTCAGAAGAGAAATGCTGAAAAAGAGATGATTCTAAATATGAACACTGAATGGGGATGTCTGCTCCCAGGACTGAGGAGACACAGGACACTGGATCCCAAAATAAGCTGAGATCCTTGCTGTCCCCATGGTGGATGCTTTTCCTTGTAGGCTGCATAGACACAACCTGGCACCTGCCTTTCGTGACTGCACCAACAGACACACATTGCTACAGCTACAAATGCTCAGCAGTGGCATTTCCAGACCATGACTGAACACAGTGAGCAGTGACTGATCACTCCTCACTCTTGCACAAGCCCCCGTTAAAATCTCATTTATGTGGCACATCTCATGCAGCTGGGCTGCAGTGAATGATTCCATGATTCTGATCTGCATTCCAGACAGGAGATGGGGTCTTCCTTCTGCCCTAAGCAGCACGTGTTAGAAACTCTCCTCAGTCAGTGCCTGAGGTGGCAGTGTGCTGAAATTCCTGGAAGAAGCAATTGCATCCACCCGAAGTGAGCACTGATCTACACGTTAAGGTACTAGGTTACGCATAGACTCCACGTCCGTGGTTCCTCCTTCACTGACACTAAATATCTGCTATTATTTGGCCAAGGAGGATGTACTGCTTATTGACTTGCCATTTCTGATGGCAGCACATGGGGTGAAGAGAAGCTTCAAGCTAGACCCTTCTCTGTTAGCACACACGCAGCTCCTGCTCGTTCAAACAGGGTTGAGCAAGCAGACAGGAGACTGCACCTCCAATGCTCAACATTAATCCATTCCAGTTTAATAGGAAAAAAAAATGCTGATTTAAGGAGTGGCGTCAAAAGGCACAATTTGGAAATCCAGATGTTTTCCTAAGCTGACACACTGACTTAGGTTTTGCATGAAAAGCAAACCCAGGAGAAAGAGCTTTCTATAGCAATCCATCGCAAGCCCAGGCATAGCACCTACTGCACTGAGGTGCCATGTTCCCTGTGAGAAAGGGCTGGAAAGAAATGTCAGATGAAGGAGAGGGGAAAGAAAAAAAGACAGCCACGTAATCACATCTAAATGTCAGAGCAGATCTGACATCGCATCCTTCTCCCAAAGCGCCCTAAAAATTCACTGAGTGCAGAAACTACTGGGGATGCCAAGAAGGGAAACAGCAGCCCCAGAGCTATTTCATAGCCTGCTGTCATTCGTGTCAGAAACCCCGGTGCTGCCCTGGCACCGCAGAGCTGCGCGTGCCGTGCAATGCTCCGGCAGCGCCTCTGACAGCTGGATGAACTTCTGGCCTAACCTCTGCCCCCGGATCTGGCATGGGCTGCGGTGATGATTCAGCAGCTCTGCTCAGCAAAGCTCGTCTCAGCATTACAGACACAGGTCATCTAGTGCAATTTCCCTGCTCAAGCAGTGTCACCCATAGGCTGCTGCCCAGGACCCTGTCCTGACACCTTTTGACTGTCTCCAGAGAAGGACTCCCAGGCCCTTCTCTGCAGAGCTGCTCTGCAGCAGAAGAAGCCCCAGCCTATACTGGCACATGGGGTTATTCCTCCCACCGCCTTTGTTGAACCCCATGAGGTTCCTCTCTGCCCGTCTCTCCAGCCTGTCCGTGTCCCTCTGAGGGCAGTTCTGCCCTCCAGGGTATCGGCCACTGCTCCCAGTTTGGTGTCATCAGCAAACTAGCTGAGGGTGCCTTCGGCCCCTTCATCCAGGTCACTGATGAATAAGGTTGAACAGGTCTGGACCCGGGATCAAACCCAACTAGACTTTGTGTCACTGATCACTGAACAGGTCTGGACCCAGGATCAAACCCTGGTGGTTACTGACCCCAACTAGACTTTGTGTCACTGATCACAACCCTCTGAGACCAGCTGGTTCTCAGTCCACCTCCCTGTCTGCTCATCCAGCCCATGCTTCCCCAGCTTGCCTATGGGGATGTTTTGGGAGACAGTGTCAAAAGTCTTCCTGAAGTCACAGTAGACAACATCCACTGCTCTCATCTACCCAGTGAGTCGTTCCATCACAGAAGACCATCAGGTTGGCTAAGTGGGATTTCCCATTTGTGAACCCACACCGATTCCTCCCCACCACCTTCTTGTCTTTCTTGTGCTTGTAGATGGTATCCAGAATTAGCTGCTCCAACACCTTTCCAGAGATTGAGGTGAGATTGATTGGCCTGAAGTTCTGCAGGTCCTCCTTGCTCTTATTGAAGATTATTTTGAAGATCAGACATTTGCTTTCTTCCAGTCCTCAGGCACCTCATCTGACTGCCATGAGCTTTCAAAGGTGGCTGAGAGTGGCCTTGCAATGACATCAGCCAGCTCCCTCAGCACTCAGTGGGGAACCCATCAGGCCCCAGGGACTTGTGTATGTCCAGTTTGCGTAATCTTAACCAGCTCCACCAAGAGAAAGTTTTCCAGATTTTTTCCTTTGCTTCCAATGTCATTCCTGAGAGCTGGTGTCACCAATAAAGACTAAGGTGAAAAAGGCATTCGTCACCTCTGCCTTTTGTGCCCTTTGTCACCGTGGTCCCTGCCCCATTCAGTGGGCCCACACGTTCCCTGCTCTTCCTTTTGGTACTGATAGTTTACAGAAACTCTTCTTGTGGTCCTTGACTTCCCTTTCCAGATTAAATTCCAGAAGGGCCTTGGCCTTCCTAGCCTCATTCCTGCATATTTTGACAATGTCCCTATATTCCTCTCAGGTTACCTGTCTCTGCTTCGCCTTCTGCACGCTTCCTTCTTCTGTTTGAGTTTTGCCATTAGTTCCTTGCTCATCTATGCAGGTCTCCCACCCCCTCTGTTCAACTTGTTCCTCATTGGGACGGACTGTTCTTGTCCCAAGTTCTGTTACCACATCTAGAACATGCCAAGGGGCTGGTAGTTCTTTCAGGGCAGGGCTAAGATTTCTGCACTCTCAACATCTCAATCATCCTGGTTTTCTGGCCAGGACTACAGGAAGAAAAGGGAGACTTTACTGCCTTTGCCCTCCACGTCTTTACTGTCCTGTAGATCTACTGCAGGAGCTCCAAATAAATGAAATGATGACAGCTTTTACTGGATCAGTCTAACTTCACTGAAAACGAGCAAATAGCAATTTTCTGCCACTCAAAAATTAGCTGTGGGAAGTTATTTTTTCACAGACAGAGGGAAAATGCTGACCTCCAACCTCAGCATCAACCTCTGAAGTCAACTTCAAGACATGAAGTCTTTAGAAGTCTTAAAGGAAAGAAACACAAAAGTAGCACAGTTTATTTTCCCCATTGTGTTCCTAAATATCTCCTGTGTTGCACTCTTTTCACTGAGACATTAATAAAAACACAGCCAAGAGAAAAGAGATCTAAACAGCCCAGCTGAAGCACACAGGGCAACACGTACAGTGCAAGTGCAAGGTCAGTGAGCAAGGAAGCACAGTGGGCGAGCTGGCATGCCACCAACGCGTGTCCCACACAGTGACAGGAAGGGACCAAACTTGCACGGTGCCCTCGGTGGCCCTCCTGCACTAGCAGGGCCAAACAGCGGGGAGAAGGGAAATGTGAGAGGGATGTTGTTACAGGCTGTGAGACTGGGTGGTTCAGGACAGGGGGCATCATCTGGAGATGCAGCAGAGAAGGGGGCTGCTGTTTTGGGGCTGAAACGTAGAGACAGAACTGCTCTGTCTTCACGATGGGCAGCAGTGAACGCTCCACGTTAGCGCAGAGCTGGCCTTGCACAGACTCGAGGCGACCATCAGGCCTTGTTCTAATAGCCTCAGTCTATCAGGCTTCCTTATAAGAATCATCAAGGAAAACAATCAAGGAAAGGCAGAATCTGACACTTGCAAGGCTGAATCTAGAGCACAACTGAGAAGGCTGCCGAAGAGAACCTGCAAGACTCAACAGTCCTGGAAACTTTATGACCCAGTCCGAAAAACCTGTGACAAAAGTGTTGGGTCAACAGAGACACGTGCTGACAGCAATCAATGGCAACATCTCTGAACAGTGACATTGCTAAACAGGGATTGAGGCTGGTAGATGCTTCCCTGACCCATCTAAATGCTACGTTCTGCCCATCCTGGGAGAGCAAAGGTGAAAAGCGCCCTACCATTTCCTGCAGGTGTCCAGAAGGATGAGATTCAGGGCTGTCTGCTGCTGCTGCATCTTCTGGAGGATCCTCTGCACGCTGATGCAGTTCTCAGGGGCATAGGGCTGTGGGGCATCAATGGGGACCATGTAGTTCCTCCCTGAATGTTCATATCCATGTCCGGCGTAGTAAAATAAAGCTGGAAATGTGATGAGGACAGGATGAGTCACGATGCAAACCTGCAGGCTGTAACTAGCTCCCCACGACCACGTCCCATATACTACCCTGAAGCGATACTGGCGCAGGATAAACCTGGAGTTCCATTCTTGACAAAGTTTTGGTTAAAAATAAATAAAGTTTGGCTGTTAGTGAGAATGAGAAAATGGACAAAGAAATATTCTACTGTGATAAAAGATATATTCACAACCTTTTAAATATGAAGCTCCAGAGCATTCTAGTTTTGGAGCAGAGACTGGTAAGGCATTAGGTGATGGAAAACACCCTTCAACTTTCAAGAGTCAAGCTGTAGTTACATACTTATTAACCAGTGAAAAACAACAAGACAGACACCTGAATACCTGTACCACATGCATCAATGATCTCAAACCAGCTACCAGGCCTGGAAAGCAGGAAAGGAGTCAGACTCTTAGGGGTGGTTGTGACCAGGGACCTAAGTTCAACATCCAACAAAGATCTGGGTTTGAGGCTTTACTCTTAAGCATGAAAATCATAACAATAGTTTTTGGCAATTGGGAAACTTCCACTTGGAAAGCCCAGCACAGTGAAGCTGCTGCTTCTTGCTGACTTCCATTTAGCTCCCCAGCTCTGCATTTGCAGAAGGGCCTTCCCGACTTGCAGAGATCCTCATGTGAGCTGCAGCCTTCCCAAAGCAAGGGAAGGGCTGCAGGGTGATTTGCTAGCCCGTCCCAGCGCTGATACTGCAGGACTTGTTGAAAGACAACTCGGGGAACCAAAAGGTGTTGAAAACAGCTCGACAGGATGACGCAAATGGCTGTGATGCTGCAATTATGGGACAGTGGAGAACTAGAATTCAGAAATGGGAACAAGCAGCTGAGAGGCAGAAGCAGGGAAACTGCTTGAGTCAGATTTGCCGTTGGAAGCAGCAAATTCATTGAATAACCACCTTCTCTATATTCCTGGCACCGCTCTTACCTCTGGAGTTTGCAGGACACCCATTTGATTTACAATGCTGGAAGAGATGCAGTGGATGGAGCAGGAACTGAAGGACTGAAAGCATCATCTTGTTATAAAGACAACCTAAAAATCATCTTTGGTTTCTATTCTCAGGCAATGAAAGTTACTCCAACAGCTGTTTTCACAGGTGCCTGAAAGGTTTGGGTTCCTCTTGTTGTGGAACTCCAGACAGAAACAGTGGGCTTTGACTTGCAGAAGTGATAAACTTTCTTAACTTGAAATGGAAGCCACAAAACCCTACTGTGAAGCTATAAAAGCATATCAGATGGGATCATTCAGAAAAAATCAGAATCAGGCATTTCTGATTTGGCCTTTGAAGTAGTAAAGCTACAAATCCCTCTAGGTCTCATCTCTCTAGCTTTGTTTGGTACAAAAAATGAAGGTGAGATCCTTTATGGGACCAAGGCACTGGTGTGTCCAGGTAACTGACACTTGGAAAGAACTAAAGCTTTATACAAAAGTTCAAAAATAAGAATTAAATTGCTAGTCATCACAGGCTTTCCGTAATGCAAGTGAACCACCTGTAGGGATGATTTCTAAATGAGAAGAGGAAAATAACATAACAGAAATATTAAATAATAAAAGAACATAGCCAAGTATCACCTGGTCTGCTTATGATATGGTCCCTGCCTATAGAAATACAACGCAAATGTGTCAATGGAGATAGAGTCCAAACCCAGAGGGCTCAGGTTAAGACAGCAAAACCAACTCAATAAAGCACGTTCTAACTTTGAGGGGACTTGTTTAGCCACCCAAACATGCTATCGAGTGCTCCCTGCACTGTGTGAGCTACAAGACAGGAGCTATTCTAGCTCCATTTGAGAAACAGAAAACACCAGGATTCATGTTTGTTGAGCAGCTTTGCTGGAATCCTCTCTAACATGTTGTTCTTCCTCTTCTCTCCTTTTAAACAGGCCCCTCCATGTTTTGACTAAGAAAAGGAGAAGGTTTTTCTTTTTATTTACGTGTTTAATTTCACTGTCTTCCCACGTTTTGTGAGACAAAACTGCTGATCCACAACTAGCTTCTGAATACCGAAATATAAAGGGGAAGTTCCAGGGACTGGCTACAATACAGGAAATGTCAGCACACAGCTTAAATAACGTATGACGATCTATTCCTAGTATTTCCTTTGCAACTTTTTTTCTCTATTGCATTTCTGCCATTATTTTTTGACTCGGGGCTTTTTAGGATAGTTGAAATAACATCGAGGGAGAGTCCTCGCTTGCCTGAAGGTTACATATACAGGATGGGTTTGGGGCCTGGTGCTTTGGGACATTCTTGTAAGAGGAGATCACAGGTTCTCATGCAGATAAGCCACCATCTCTGGAAGGTGAATTTAAAAAAAAAAAGGTAGCTGTAGCTAGATCATTTTGAACACACAGTCATACCACACCGTTGTGCCTCAAAAGGAAGCCTGTGTTGGTGCAGGTCTTGAGAAATGAGGCCCGATAATAAAGCGTGTGAAGTCCTACATAGGGGCAGATAACCCCCAGGCATCATTTTGGCTGAGGAGCTACTGCTTGAGCAGCAGCCCTGAAGCCTGGACTCACGGTGGCCACCACGCTGAAGGGGAACCAGCGCTGGGGCTCCAGCAGGGCAGAGCAAAGCCTGCACGTACAGCAGGAGATGCAGGACCAGCAGGGTAAAGGGAGCTGTCACACCCTCTCCTTGGCCCTGGGGGGGTCCCACTTAGATCCTGCATCCAGTTTTAGGGCCATCAGTTCAAGATGGAGATGGAAGAACTAGAGAAAAGGCCAGCAAAGGCTACCAAGATCCAGGGTTAGTGTGGTGAAGTGAAGGTGAAGCCAGGATCTCACAGCAGGTTCCAGCTCCTGCTGTCTCCTACAGAGACAGCAAAACCCAAATCCTCTCACTGGTGGCAGGAAACATTGGGCAACCTGAGGAGGGTCAGGTTAGACATGAAGAAAGGCTTCTCCCTTCAGGGTTAGGAAGCCCTGGAACAGGCAAGGGGGGCAACTGGTAGCTTCAACCTTGGATATCCTTAAAAGCAGTTGATAACAGTCCTGCAGTGAACAGGATTGGGACTACAAAAGTCCCTTCCAACTAACCCCTATCAGCTATACAGGGCTCAGGAAGGAGACAAGAAGGTGGCCCAGCCATCCACCAGCATCATTTCCAGGGTGTGCACAGGTGCATCGGGGTTACACCAGCATCTCCCCCTTCAGCCTTGTAAAAAGCCTTCCGTGACTTAGCCCTCTCCTCCCAGCTCTGCTCAGCTCCATGCAACCACACAAAGTTCTCATGACTTCGGCTTTGGCGGTTGCAACACAGGAAATGGCACCTCAGGGTTCCCCGAGCAAGAAAAAAAAACAGGTGTAGGCAAGGGGATGGCTTTGCTTGTGCAGGTACCTGCCCAAAACACCTATGTGGGTGCACAGGATGTGCGTAAAGGAATGCTGATGAGCTCCGTAGTTTTAATAGGTGACCTAGATTGCCACTGGAGCAATCTCTTATCTCAGAGCTCTCCAAATTTTCAATCCATCAACGGCTTCTAGACCTTTATTCTGGAGCTCAGGCCTTGAAAACCCAATCCACAGAGCTTATGATGAGTTCTTGGCTTGTTCTAAACACAATAAGTTAATTTCAATGACTTGCTATTCCCTGTCTCTTTTAATTTTATGCCAGATAAACATCTGAAGAAACACTGGAAGATGCATCACAAGAAGGCACCCCACAGGTCTGATCCAGAAACCCTGGGGCAAGCAGCAGACAAACTAACCGAAGTTCCCACTGTAAGTTTGGATGCCACCCAATTATGACAAGAGTCTTCAACGTGATCGCTCAGACTGGCCTGATGGCTGCTGTCTCAATACATTAGCAGGCTACTCAGCTTAGAAAGCTGTAAAGAAAACCCACTATGACTGACAAACACCCAGGGCTTACTAAGATTCAGTACCTCAGCTGTTAATATTTTCCTTGCCACTGCATAAAGTCAATTTTGCCATAAAAAATCAATGGCGAAGAATGCAAAATGCTTTTTAAAAAAAAGCACGACAGCGTGAAAGGTTTGTCATTTAATTTTTTTTTGTTTTTCTCCCTCCAATGCTCAGGAAAATAAGGGAATCTCAGTGTAAAGCAAACGTTTTGTTGCCATATGTTATGATACAGACTTGCTGGGTTGGACCTGCAGCTCCTTACATCCTGCAGGATCCATGGTAGAAGTGGGTGAGCTCTCCAGAGGGAGCCCAGGAGAGCCACAGGACTCTGGCGAGGGAGAAAGGAGGCAATGCCTGAGATTGCAGGGGGATTTCAGAAAGAAACCACAAAAGGAAGTTTGCAAGTGAAATCATAGGAGTAAACTATCATCAGATGATGCACTCAGCCCAAGCGGTGACAACCCTGTGCTTCCTTTCTGCACCAGCTGAACCTCCCCGAGTGAGTCAGAGATTCCCAGAAGGAGGCAAAGTTGCTGTATTTCTTCACATGAAGATGTCATCTGTGCCCTTGCCCTTATTCTTTGCACAACATCCAAACCTTACACTGATCACTACACCGGCCCTGGCCTGCACTTACGTCTTCCATCAGAATATCCTAGAATGTCATGCAGACTGGAGAGCTGGGGGAAAAAAAGCATCCCAGGAAGGAGGCTGTGCCTCCCTGAGGCTTGGAAGACGACACCATCGGCCAGGTGTTTCCAGGGTATTTTATCACCTTGAGAGGGCCTCACAATCCCCGAGGAAGCTACTTTCACCAGCGATTCTGAAGGCCTGCTTTAAGATCCACGAGATTGGCTCTTTCTTAAGGAATGTTTCCCCCCCTTTCTCCCCACTGAGGACAGCATGCAAGTAGCTCCAGCAGCTCCAGCCTAAGCCACCTACAGCTGGGAATGCAAAGAAAAGGCTGCTTGTGTCTCAAATTAGACCACCAGGAAAGAGAAACGAGGAAATTGTGGCCGGCTGCAACACTCGAAATGAGTTTCTGCCCTCACAAAAGAACTCTGTGGGGCCACCAATATTCACATTAAAATTATCTTCTCTATCTTTTAAGAAGAAAAATTGAAACACCCTGTCCCACACAGTAGCTCCCTGAAACCCTCGCACAGAAGCACGAGACCGTGTTATTTGAGTTAAAAACTCAGAGCCATGTAACAGAGAAACACCCATCATGACTGTCCATAACCTGGCCAAACTGAACAGCATTTACCTGCCAAGCCCAATACTCCTGAAGACTGCGCTGCAGGGCCCCCCCTGTCCTACATAAAGGAAAGTTCAATTTCTTCCTTTTAATATAGCAGCAGTTATAAACATTTCTTGCTGAATCCCTGCTCTTCCCTAGCAGCAATCACTGTTAAGCTGGCGTTGCCTATTGCCTGCTTGGCCTCAGCGGGTGGCCGGGCTGCTTGGCCTTACCGTAGACCCCTTTCCCCAGAAGCTGCAGGAAGCGACCGACCGCCGTCATCATCTCAGCCTTGTTCAGGTCCAGAAGAGACACGACCTGGAAGCCCAGTTGCTTTAGCAGAAGACTCAGTTCAAATACATCTGTGACAGGAGCCATAAGGTTTGGATGATGCTGGTAATGGTTGTTGCCCACTAAAAGCGCTATCTTGTCTGTAGCTAAGAGAAACACCAAACACCAAAACTGTAAATGCTCAGCAAGGATCAAGGTATTGCTTCATTCAGTTAGACTGAGGATACATGAAATCCATGAAATCTTTTTGTATATTTAGTTGGGATATAGGGCATTCAGCAGCCACAGGAGAAGAGAGCTTCGTCCTGGTCTGAGGAGCTTTTTCAAAGGAGGCAAAAAGGTGTCACACAAACAAGACTTTTATAGTCATTTTGTAGGCAGAGATTGAATTACTTATTAGGAAAGTTCTTACTCTGCTTTTGATTCATTCTGTGCCTTGCAGCTTTGATGCCAAAAGACCAGCACCAGCAGAGCACATGACAATGTGGGCATAAAGGCACAAAACAGTCTCTGCAGCAGAAAACACTCCTATGTCCTGTCCTCGCACCCACTTTAGAGCTCAACTTCGAAACAGGGGAATAACTGCTCAGAAAAAAGACTTGCAATACTCACCAAAAAACTTTGCAGGGTGACACGTACCTGGAAACAAAGACAGAAGTGATAAGCACATGCTCAGCACCCAGGTTCCCAATGCCAACTCCGATCACAGGTCTCAAACCTGCCCCCCTAGCTACACAAAGTCGGATCAAAAACTGCAGCATCGCAGCTGATTGAGCGACACAGACTGTAAAACTGCTCCTCAGACCAGTTTTACATAACCCACTTACTAACCTTAGAGATACTAGACTGCTCATTTCAAGAGCCTGCCTGCACCGGCCCCCCAAAAGTAGCTGAACTGACACGTGGGCAGCAAAGGAGAAGGGTGAACGGTCAAGGATGAAGGCACGAGAGGAAGGTGCCAGCACGAGAGCAGCTGAGAAGGCCAAGGAAGCAAAGCTCAAAGAAGGAGCAGGCTGGGGGAAGGAGCGTAGGGCTGCCCATGTGGAAGCCTGCACTGCCTGTTTCAGCCCTGCTGCTCTTCCCAGGATGACCTGCCTGCTCCCTCATTGCAGGGAGAGCAAAGGAAACAGGAGGACTCGAGGAAGAAACTCAGACAACATTGGCTTTGAAGCAAAAAGCATCTCCCTATGAAAGGTCAGCATTTAGGAAGCAGACTGTTTGCTTTAGATAAGATTTCCAGCGCGTTTCAACACTCTGCTTTGCTTTTCTCTGCCTTTTAGCAGTTCCGGCTCAGAAAAGCCACCCAAACATGAGTCATTTTCACAAGATCCACAAGCTTCCCTGCCCGAGTGAGCACGGCGTGGAATTTCACTGATGCCAGCAAACCCAGCAGGCATCTGTGCAGGCATCCCATCCCCTGAGCTCTCCTCGCACACAGCCTCTAAAAGTCATCATTACTCTGACAACTTCTGCTTTTTTTTTTTATATATATATTATTAATAATAATCCAGCCCAGAATAAAGCTCTAGAACCCTAAAGGTTCTAAAAGAAAAAAGGGAATATTTTTAATTGCATAAATTTCATGGATTTGGAGGCTTTTGGGACCTTTTTTGGATACACAGTGCTGACAGTGCTGCTAATGCTCCAGGGAGAAAGCATCAGCACAAGCCCATTTGTCCTCTTTTCTTTTTTTTGCCTCCAGCAGAGCTGCCTGTAGCCTTCACATTTTCAACCCAGCCCAGTCCGATACCCTTTTTTGCTACCTGTCTCTTCTGTTTTGCCAGCTGCAAGGAGTGAAGGAGAGTGGACAAGGCTCCCTAGTCATACATAACCAATTTGCAGCTTAAAAAGATTTTACAGGCAATGTAAATGGCCAGAGAAGAAACTTATGGCAGAGAAAAATCTCTAGATGGAGTCAAGAGCCAGCAATGCTGCCCTGTGCTATTCCTGTCTCATGGCGTAGCAAAGGCACAGGATCAAAGCAGCCATCAGACAGAAGGTGGAATAGATATAAGGCTCTGGAAAGCCATCTTTTCCCCTAAATCCCTTAGGTCATACAGGAATTGGGCCTGGCCAGCTCTGCTGAGCTGCCTTAACCTTCCTGAAACAAACACAGCCCTTGCCAGCTCTATAGATCTGAGCACATAATACTTTCTCTCAGTTTCAGGAAAGGATCACAGCACAATCTGGGGTGACAGCTATTAAATCAGCACCTCAGCAGGGCAAGAATACCCAAGTGAGCATCAGAAAGCACAGTGTAACATGGCAGGCTTCTTATGAGGTGATCAGAGGTGCTTTAAAAGCCGCCTTCAAACCCGCACAACCCAAAACTGAGGCAGACAGACAGCCAGCTGCCAAGTACCCAGGATCCAGCTACGCTCGCCCGTGCACATGCTGATCTGCTTGCCTGACAGCTCCAACACAGGTCACCACTTCTCCTTGCTACTCCCAGACATCAGAAAGACCCCCTTGTGTAGTTCCATGTCCCACAAGATGCTTCCCTTAATGCGAAAGCCTTTTCGATTTCAGTCATACCACAGAATACAGTGGTATCCTTGTGGCTAAGCAGCTGTACAGATACGCAGGAAGATCACTTGAGTTTTTCCTTTTACAGACGCCATTTCCCTCGCTAATTTTGAACTCTGTTATCAAGGAATTCCATTTATCACTGCTCTGGCCTGTCAGCAGGGACTAACAGACACCCACGTCCTCAGCTTTTGCAGCTCGCTGAGATCACCGCTTCAAGTATACCCAAGGTGTGAAATTGTGCTTTGCAGGCAGTTTCAGTGACAGCTGCCACAGGGCAGCCAGGACGCTCCAGTTTCTCTGCAGAGCCCCACGTTGCCTCTTCTCGAGTTGCTATG